CCCCAAAACCCCAAAACCCCAAAACCCCGTCAGGTGCTGATTGATAGTTAAATTGAGTAAGAATAATTTTAAATTGAATTATTTGAAATATAATGTCGAGAAGTCTAAAGTCAATCACTCTCATAACTCTCTTGGCTCTCCTTAATCTCTCACAAAGAGCTTATTCTTACAGGGGCCAATATGCTATTCCTTAATCTGAGATACCAAGGACACTCGAGGAATATACTGAGACGACAGTAACAACAGATGAAAATGGGGAAACTACCACTGAAACAACAACAACAATTACCAATGAAGAGATAGCTTAGGATGGATCATCTAGTCCCTCTTCATCTCACCCTAGCACTGCCAGTACAGCACAGACTCAATAATCACCATCTTCTTCTCAATAGTAAACTTAACCTAGTCCATCAAATCAAACTACAACATCGACTTAATAACAATAGCAATACTAATAAGCACCTTAAACCCAATAATAGGATGTGGAAGCATCATAAAATAATCCAGAAGGAGAAGATTCATCTGCTTCCCCAGCAACATATAGACCCAGTTAGTCTGCTAACACTCAACAAATTCAGAACAAAACTACTATATCATAGGTTGTATCAGACGATGCAAGATTGGATTAAAACTTCAACTAAGATGATGACGGTTCTGATGCTGACTAGGCTTCTGAGGAGATGCTTTAGAAGTAAAAAAGAGCTGCTAAAAAGAGAATTTATAATCCAGAGTTGTCCTTAGTAGATCCAAAGCCAAGAACCTATTCTAATTCCTCAATGGTTAACCTTCCCCCATGTGGAGGCTCAGACAAAGGCTTTGTGCATTATATGGCAACTCCAGGGAGCAGAAACTTCATTCAATGGAAAGTAAGTCACCCAGCAGCTGAAGGCAACTGCACTGTGAGAGTAGGTTAAGGATTAGATGAAGACGAATTTGTTGTGCTCAGACCTAGAGACGGAAGTGCATACAAAGATGGATCATTCCCATGTGGAAGGGAAGTCGGCTATGAAGGCAAAGAGTTCAGATTCCCAAGGAACTACACTTGCGATTAATGCACACTCCAACTTGAATGGACCATTCCTGCTGGATAGATTCATCAGTGTGCTGACTTCATTATGACTAGCAGAGATGGTAATTTAACACTAATACTAATATTAATATAGCTGAGGAATGCACTGGAAAGTGTGTTAATGGTGGTGCCTGTATCAATGGAGAGTGCAGATGCAGAGCAGGATTCTATGGAACTTATTGTGAATCAAAGAGTAAATAATATTTATCATCTAATCTAACTTATAGATTAAGTGTCATCTAGAATCATTTGGTATGTCTTAATCTTCGTCATTATGATTGCGATTATCATTGGTATTGTGGCTTACACTCTAAATGAAAGAAAGAAAATCCGCAGAAACGTAGATGACGATCAAAACTCGATTATTGGTTCCAACCCAGAGCCTTCTAAAAAGGGAAGTTACGGCAGATGAACATATATAGGTTAAGAGACTGTATAAACATGACCCCTCTGCCCTATAATTGAATTTTCTATAAATTAATTCTTAATGCTCACATTTACTTGACAGAATAAAACATGGGGTTTTGGGGTTTTGGGGTTTTGGGGTGGAA